AAAAAAAAAAAGGATGAACAGTGAAAATGGTATATATGTGGTTAAATTTGAATAAAAGTTTTCTTTCTTATCTTAACTTCTCTGAAAGTCAGTGGGCTACTTAAGGCAGAAATAGTAAGAGTATACTGTAGTGTTTATAACAGATGTAAAAATAACAGATGTAAAAATAAAATATACAAAAGCGATAGCGTAAAGGACAGGAAGAGATGTAAATAGAATTATATGTGAAGTGGTATTATATTAATTCAAAATAGATTCTGATAAGTTAAGGGTGTATCTTGTAAATCCTAGAGCAACAACTAAAAATAATAATAATACAAAGAGGTATAAATCAAAAGCCAATAGAGGAGATGGAATGATCTACTAAAACAATACTCGGTTAACCCAGAAGGAGTCAGGGAAGATAGAACAAAGGAAGAAATAGCAGTGGGGACAAATAGGAAACAAAAAAAAATTTTTTTAAATTAAAGAATGGGAAAAGATAAGTAGGCATATGAAAGCTGGTATGTCTATATATACAAAGTAAACCTCAAGACAGATTATTGCATGAGATAAAGAGGGTTGTTTCCCAATGATAACAGAATCAATTTCTCAAGAAGATATTATGATCTTAAATATGTACGTGCCTAATGATAAAGTTTCAAAAATACATGAAACAAAAACTGATGGACCTAAAGGGAGAAACAGAAAAATCTATGGTCATTGTTAGAGATTTGAACACTTATCTCTTAGCAATTGATAAAGATATAGAAGACTGGAACAACACTGTCCAACAACTTGACTTAATTGCCTTTTATAAAACACTTGCACCACCAATGACAGAATACACATACTTTTCAAGTGTACATGGAACATTCACCAAGATATACTATATGCCAGACTATAAATCAATCTCAGTAAATTTTATAGGAATGAAACCATGGAGAGTATGTTTCCTGATAAAAGCATAATTAAATTAGAAATCAAAAACAATAAGGAAAATGAGGTAACACAAGTTGCAAATATCAAGAATGAAAGAGAGGACATTACTACCAATTTTACAGACATTCAAAAAATGTTAAGAGAATATTATATACAAGTGTATGCTAATAAATTCAAAAACTTAGATTAAATGGACAAATTCCTTGGAAAACAACACAACAACAAAAAAAAACAACACACAAAAACAACACAAGAAGAACTGGAAAGTCTGATTGTCTCTAAATCTACTAAAGGAATTGAATTCATAATTAAAAATCATCACACACACACACTCCATCACCAAGTCCAGATGGCTTCACATTTAGGACAGGAATGATACTAAGTCTACACAAACTGAGAAAATAGAGAAAAAGGAAACACTTTATAAATTTTTTATGAAGTTAGCATAACCACAATACCAAAACCTGACCAGGACTTTACAAGGAAAGTAAAATAAATTCAATATCACTCATGAGCATAGAAGCAAAAATCCTCCACAAAACATTAGTAGATCAAGTACATCAATATATAAAAAGGGTAATGAATCATGACCAAGTGGGGCTTATGCCAGAAATGCAAGGTGGGTTCAGCATCTACAGATCAACCAGTATCATTCACCATGTTAACAGAATAAAGGAGAAAAATCATGGGATCATCTCATTAGAAACAGGAAACGCATTTGTCAACACTCAATACTCATTAAAGATAGAAGTATTCAGCAAACTAGAAATAGGAGAAAACCTCCCCAATCTGAGAAGAGCATCTAAGAAAAAAAACATATGCCTAACATATTTAATAGTGAAGTAATGAACCCTTTCCTCCTACAATCAGGAACAAGGTAAGAATAGCTTCTCTCTTCAATTTTTTCCAACATTACACAATATACAGTTTCTGGCCAATGCACCGAAGCAAGAAAAAAAAAAAGAGAGATCAGAAAGGAAGAAGTAAAATTCAGCAATAAAAAGGAATGAACTACTGAGACATGCAAGAGAATGAATGAATCGCGAAAACAATCTGCTGAGAGAAAGAAGGCAGACACAAAAGAGTACATGCTGTATGCTTCTATTTATATAAAATCCTAGAGCAGGCAAAACTAATTTATGACAGAAAGCAGATCGGTGATGGCCTGGGGGTTGGGAGGAGACAGCAAATAGGGGATTTCTCAGGGTTAATAGAGATGTTCTGCATCTCGATTAGGATGGTTGTTACCAGGGTATACACACTTGTAAAAAATTTATTAAGTTGTACATTGAAATTGATTTTATTATATGTACATGACATCTTAAATGAGGGATTTTAAAAGCAGGAAAAATATACACCATTCAGAAAATGAAAAAATAAGCCACAAACTATAGGAGGTCTAGGGAAAATATTCTCAGTACACATATCTGACAAAGGACTTGTATCCAGAACATATGGAGTCTCTCACAGCTTAATAATAAAAGTAAAAAGTAGGCAAGTTTCTTTAAAGGGCAAAAGACTTGAAAAGACGTGTCACAAAAGATAATATATGAATGGCCAATTAGCACTTAAAATTGTGCTCAAGATCATCAATCATCAGAGAACTGCAAATAGAAACAACAATGATATAACTATAGCCTTCCAAGAATGTCTACAATTAGAAATATGAACAAAATCAAGATTTGGCAAGGATGCAAAGTAACCAGAACTCTCATTTGCTCCTGGTGGGAATGAAAGATAGTTCAACCATCGTGGGTAGCAGTTTCACAGTTTCTATGAAGTTATCCCTAGACCTACCTTATGAAGCAGCTACTCTACTCCTAGCCATTTGCCTAAGAGAAATTAAAATACCTGTCCTAAAACTGAACTGACTTGTATATAAATGTTAATAGGGACTTCTTCATAATCACCAAAAACTGGAAACAATCCAAGTGCCCATCCTCAGGTGAATGGATGTGGATTGTGGTGTATTTATACATGGAAAACTGTTCACCTATTTAAAAAAATGAACTAATGCACATGACCATGTGGATAAATCTCAAAAACATTTTGTTGAATAGCCAAACTATGGAAAGAGCCTAGATATCCATCAACAGATGAATGGATAAAGATGTCATATGATAGAATATTATGCAGCCATCAAGAAAAACAAAATCTTGCCATTTGCAACAACGTGGATAGAACTAGAGGGTATTATGCTAAGAGAAATAAGTCAATCAGAGAAAGACATGTATCATATAATCTCATTGATATGAGGAATTCTTAATCTCAGGAAATAAACTGAGGGTTGCTGGAGTGGTGGGGGGTGGGAGGGATGGGGTGGCTGGGTGATAGACATTGGGGAGGGTATATGCCATGGTGAGCGCCGTGAATTGTGTAAGACTAATGAGTCACAGACCTGTACCTCTGAAACAAATAATACATTATATGTTAAAAAAAAAGAAGAAGAAGAAGAAGATAGTAGGAAGGGAAAAATGAAGGGGGGAAATCAGAGGGGGAGACGAACCATGAGAGACTATGGACCCTGAGAAACAAACTGAGGGTTCTAGAGGGGAGGGGGGTGGGGGGATGGGTTAGCCTGGTGATGGGTATTAAAGAGGGCACGTTTTGCGTGGAGCACTGGGCATTATGCACAAACAATGAATCATGGAACACTACATCAAAAACTAATGATGTAATGTATGGTGATTAACATAACATAATAAAAAATAAATAAATAAAAATATTTAGAAAAAACACAAGATGTTTATGCAGATTTACATTTTTAGCTTTTAATAATGAAGTCATTAGAAATACTGTAAAGATTGCAACAAATATATTTATATCCACCTAGTCTCTGAATTGCAAAACAAACAAAAGAGTATTTAATATAAAAGTTAGTGACACTGTCTAACACAAATATCATAAGAGATTTTGTTAAAGTCTGCCACGGTTAAAAAAGAAAATAAAACATTTTGTTGAGCAAAAGAAGCCAGGCACAAAGAAGTTCTTGGTGTAAATTTTCATTTATATGAAGTTTGAGAACAGAAAAAGCCAATCTATGGTGGTAGAATCCATAACAGAGACTGGCTGGGTGGATGGGGGTTGGTTGGAAAGAGACAGGAAGGAACTCTCTGGGGTGATTAAAAATGTTTTAGGTCTTGGGGCGGCCTGGGTACCTCAGTCGGTTGAGCAGCCGACTCTTGAGCTGCTCAGGTCATGATCTCAGGGTTCTGGGATCAAGCCCTGTGTAGGGCTCTGCACTCAGCAGGGAGTCTGCTTGAGAATCTCTCTCTCTCTTTCCCTCTGCCCCTCCCCCACACTCAAGCTTTCTCTCTCTCTCAAGTAAATAAATAACTCTTTTTTAAAAAGTGTCTTAAGTCTTGATTTAAGTGGTAGGTATACAGGTGTATACATTTTTCAGAATTTGTTGAACTGTGCTCTGAAGACATATGCATTTTATTGCTTTTTTTATTCTTCAATTTTTTTAAAAAGATAGGTATAAAGGAATTAGCTTGGGGCTTAACACACAGTAAGTGCTTACAGCCATTAGTTTCCCTCATCCTTCACCTTCCCCATCTCCAGCAGGCACATACCATAGGCATGACCGTGTTCTATGGTCATTGGACCTCTGAAAATAAGAATGACATTTTCCCCAAAGGAGTCGGACCATAGCATGACACTGGAGAGTTTCTCTAGTCTGGGCCATGGATCACAAATAACACTGATTATGCCATTTCTTCCTGGACCCTCCTGCAGGCTTTGGCCCCCAAGTCTAGGTCTAGAGTCCCACTGTTCCCATCCAAGAGGGTAGAATTTAGTTGGGTCATTCCAAGGGACTCGAGATGACAACGTATGGAAGTAGAAAGACATGGGGCATGTGTAAGAGACTGAGATCAGCATTTATGGGAAGGTTACAAGACAGGAAAACTAGTATTGGAGCCCGATGCTGAAAGCCTATGAGGTCAATGGAGTTAAATCGTCATGTAGGAGATGCTCAATAATTGTTTGTTGATTGAATACGTGAATGAATGAGATACTGGGACTGTTGATGCTGAACCTCCAGGGCTGACTGCTGCCTCCACCTTCCTGTCTTGCAGCTCACATACCTGCCCCCACCCTGGGGCGAGTGCCGATCCTCAGAGATGGGACTCGACTTCTTTCCTGTTTACAGTATCACCGCCTGTCGGATTGACTGTGAGACGCGCTACATCGTGGAGAACTGTAACTGCCGCATGGTCCACATGCCAGGTCAGTGCCAGGGACTGCCTGGGACCTTCTCGGCACTTCACACCCCAGTGGGAAACACTGTACCCACTCCATGAGGATCCACAGGGATGCGGTTCTGGGAAGGCTAGTATTTTAGAGGTCCCAAACACTTAGAGGGCAGATAGAAGCATCCAGTTAGCAACCAAGGCAGCATCCTGGTGTCCAGAAGCGTCCAGATGTTTGAAGAACGTTCCTCCCAGTGCTCAATATGGGTGCTAATTGTTCGCTACTCTTACCTCCTAGAGTTCAGTGTCCAGGTATCTGAGTGCTTACAGTTCTTGAATCCTCGTATGGTACCTGTTCAAACATCCAGGTGTCTATTGCTTTCATCCAGATGGTTCCCTTCTTGCATCCAAATGTCTAGCACTCTTTTGAAGGAGGCAAAAGTCCATCAGCCAGCAAATAAATGTGCATGTGCTGACATTTCTGTTGTCAGACTAACAAGGCATGTAACCATCTCATTAGATGATCTCATTAGAGATGGTCAGCTAATCAGAAGCAGAAGTGCAGGGGGTGGAGGGTGGGAGGGCTGATTCGAGCATGAAGAGTGTGGTATTGCTGCATAGAACGAAGAATGATAGGCTGGAGGCAGGGACGTTGGCTTCTAATTCAGATTCTTCCATTCACCCGCTGTGTGACCTGGCACAAGTTACAAAACCTTTCTGTTCTTACCTTCATTATCTTTAAAACACAATCATTAGTTGTTATGAGGATAAAATTAGGCTAAAATATAAAAGTGCAAAAGTCAGTGGTCATTGTATTAGCACATGGGGAGAGGAAACCAAAAGTACTATTGACTGATGACCTACTATGTGTTGGGAACGTTGCTATGATATTTCATGGCTACTATTTCATAGTTGTATCATACTTTAAGTTTATTTAACTAAATCCTTATGTCAGACATTTAGTTGATTATCAATTGTTTTCTGGTATAACCAATGCTGAGATGAACATGCTTCTAGCCAAATTCTGAATTATCTCATCAGTAATCAACAATTTTCCTAGTAATCTAAATGGATGATTGTTGATCTTTGAAATTGCCTGAGACTCCCAGAAGACAGAGCAAAAATGGAAACATATCAGTTAAATTGTTACTGTTGGAAAGGAGGAAGCGTATCAGCTCTCAACTCTTGAAAAAGGTGTTTAGGGAAATAGTAAGGAAAGGATATTGTGGTAGGTTTAACTTTAGCACTTGGCAAAAGAAAAAAAAAAGGTGTGGGGGAGGGTGGTTTCTGGATTTCTACCGAGAGACGAGATAGGAGAATATAGCTGAATAGTACCTGCCTGATGCTCAGACCGGGTCAGCAGCCAGTGAGGTTCCCCCCATGGAACCCGAGCCAAAAGCAAGCAGTAGATTTTAATCATTCCACTCATGACACTGTCCCTGGCGTCTCAGTTACTAGTGTGCAATTAAGGGCAGAGCAAAAGGAAACTGACAAAGCAGCCCTTGCTCAAAGCAGAGTGCTGCTGTTGGAAAGAGCTCTGGCCTCGGGGTCACACTGGCCTGTGTTCAAAGCCCACCTCCATCACTGTGAGCTCTGGTGTCCTGGGAAGGCAGGATACTTAAGCCTCAAGTCTCGCACCCTCGGGTAAAACAGACACAGTGTTTCCTATCGCAGGAGGGACCCTTGTGAGTTACAGACAATGATGCGCACCAGACTGAGCACGTGCTTTCCACCACCTCCCTGCTTTCAGCCACAAAGGCTTTCTCATGTATCACCCACCTGCGCTGGGTGGACCATGCACAGCGATCTGGGAGAAGTTAGCCAGGCGGACTCTATTATGGCCTGCCCAAGCTCACAGAGCAGAGCAGACCCAATCCCCTGGCTCTGCGTACACTGGGCCCCAACTGCCGGCAGGCAGCTCTGATAGGCGGTTCCCTTCCGTGGAGGTTCCCTTCTGAATGCCGGCTGGGTATGCTGCCCCTCCTGATTGCAGGATGCCCTCCCCTTCCCCAGCCCAGGAGAGAGATGTTGCTGCCTGAGTACCTCTCCTTGTGTCTCTTCTTTGCAGGGGATGCCCCTTTCTGTACTCCTGAGCAGCACAAGGAGTGCGCAGAGCCTGCCCTGGGTCAGTATTGGGGGACAAATGGAGCGGGGGGCTGAGATTGAGACCTCGGGGGCCCTCTGGGTGTGGGAGAAGTGGGGACAGGAGAGGAAGGTGGAGAGCAGGAGGAAGAGAAGGGAGGGAACAGATGCAGGGATGCAGGCAGGCGGTTGAGGGCTGACCAGGCACAGGGGGAGAGAACGGGAGTAGAGAGGTAGGGGTAGAGATGGGGTGGGGTTCGGGGGAAATGGAGAGCACTGGGGAACGCAGGGGAGGGGACAGAGATGGAGAGAGGATGGACAGTGGGCAACCGGGTGGGCACCGAAGGAGATGGGGCAGAGGAGGAGGGGCGGCCGGCTTGTATTTCCCCCTCCTCCTCCTCCCGCTGCGTGCCTGCGGGTTGGAATAACTGCTGGATTCCCCCACTGGAAAACTTGCCGGTGCGGGAGATCCCACAAACAAGCTACAACCGCAAAGCTAGACCCACTCCACATGCCTGCCTCTCTCCGGACCTGGGAAGTGATTTATAATCAGGACAAGCAGAGAGGGTGTTTAAATCATATGGACTCAATTTCATTCAGCAGCTGCACTTGCTGGAGCTAAGCTGGGACAGCTCTGGACTCCTGCCTCCAGATGCTTCCAGAAGGACTGGGGGGGGGGGGGGGGAGGCGGGGCTTAGAGAGAGTGAGAGACTTCTGACGTATACAAAGACATCTCTCTTTGGAGTACAGAATCAACAGAGCCCGTGGGTAACACGGCGATGATCAGAGAGACGGAGGGAGAGAAGTATGTCTTTAGCCACCCTGTCCTAAGAGGAAGAGGGCAGCTTGAAGGAAAGAAGTGTTCCAGATGCAGGGAGGTTCCTTCTAGGGACAGGAATTGGGGATCTTTGCTTGTGCCCTAACCCAGCAGGCAGAAGAGGCAGGCTCTGGCCAGGGAGGAGCCACAGAGGGAATACCACGGAGCCCCGGTTTTCAGATAAAATGGTCTCCCACGTTTGCCCTTGACGGGAGGCCCACTTTGTGGATGAGAACACCGAGGCTAGGAGCAGAGAAGAAGGCTCTGGGAAGCTGAGGGCGCCAGGACGTCCAGCCTGTTCTCCAAAGTGGTGCCTTTTCAACAATTTTTAAAGGGTAACATAACAATAAAGGAAGTCAACGGAGAACAGGACAAAGAGAAACCTAGAAAGAGTGGGCACCTTTTTATAAGAGCTCCCACCCTTACCAACCTAGAGCCCACGCCCAGCTCCCCTTCTCTCTGCAGCGCCCCACCCCTCACTGCCCCCGGGGAAAGGCACCTGCTCCCAGCTCACGCCCCGCCCCCGGAACCCGGGGGCCCCGCCCCCACACCTGACTAAGCCCCGCCCCTGTCTCCCCTCCAGGTCTGCTAGCAGAGAAGGACAGTAATTACTGTCTCTGCAGGACACCCTGCAACCTGACTCGCTACAACAAAGAGCTCTCCATGGTGAAGATCCCCAGCAAGACGTCAGCCAAGTACCTCGAGAAGAAATTTAACAAATCAGAAAAATATATCTCGTAAGCCAAGTGGGCGTGGTAGGCAGGGGGAGAAGGGGTAGATCGAGGAGGAACTGGGAGCGATTGAGGAAGAGGGTGAAGGGGGAAGCAGTTGGCTCCAATTTGGCAGATATTAATGGAACACTGCTGTGGGCCAAGCTCTGTGTTTCGGACTCAGAAAGCAAAGACAACGGTGGTTAAGACGCAGGCCCCGGCCATTAAGGAGCTTGAAGCAGTTTTCCAGGGAGGCCTTGCACATTCCCTTCCCTCTGCCCAGAATGCTTTTCCTCTCACGTTACCTAACTGGTTCCTCATTGTGCACGTCTCCATTTAAAGGTCATCTCCTCAAACAGCTAAATGAGTGCCCTTCCCTCTATTTTTCTCTCCAGGCATCTGGTGTTTTCCTTTATAACACTCATCCAAGTGTGGAATTCCATATTCATGTGTGTGTGTGTGTGTGTGTGTGTGTTTCCCACTAGATTGAAAGCTCCCTGAAGGCAGGAGCCTTTCCTCTTGTTCTCTGCTAGAGAGTGTCTGGCACATAGTTGGCACTCAAAAAATGTCTTCTAACAGAAAAAATGAATGAAATCCCTGGGAGAAGAGGTGTCCCAGGCAGAGGCTGAGCAAAGAGGATCAGCACAGGGCAGACAAGAGATGGGCCAGAGAGAGCCTCAGCGGGTGATGTGGCAGAACAAGAGCACCTTGTAGGGGGAGCTGGCCGTGGGGTGGGGGACAGGGACTGACTTTCCCCGAAGAGAATAGGGAGCCTCCGAGGAGCTTCTAGTAGGTGGGTGACAGCCTCAAATGTGTATTTTGGACCACTGCCCTGCAACAGAACTTTCTACACAGATGGAAAAGTTCTATGTCTGTGACGTCCAACATGGGAGCCACTAACCACACGTGGCTGTTGAGCATTCTGAATGTAGCCTGTGACTGAGGAACTGAATTGTAATTTTTTTTAATGTGACTTAGTTTAGCAGTTTTAGAAAGATCCCTCAGGCGGCAGGTGTAGAGGACAGAAGGGAAGCCAGAAGAAAGGGCGGGAGCCTGGTAGGAGGCAGGTGCCATCACCCAGTCAAGCCATGATGACCCTTACTTTGAGTGGTGCCTCAGGGAGCCCCGCAGCGGGGGAGGAGGATCTGCTTCTCTCTCACCGGCCACTCCCTCCTGCCAGCACCGCCACCAGAGCCCATCCTGGGGCAGTTTTGGCTGGGGGGGGGGGCAACAAAGTGCACCGAGGCCACTGTGACCAGGGATGAAGGAGATGGTGAATAGGAGGTGCCAGGCCCCACGGTTGAGCAGATGTCCTGCCAGCAACGATGATTTTTCCTGCCAAGATGTGTCTTGTTAACACACCTGCCTAAGGGAGCAAAAGGGAACCCCCCAGCCAGATCTAGATTTGCTCCCTAAAAACCCTCCCCGACTCTGGCAGCTGACTTGGCAGTGCTAGAGTCGGGGGCTCCCACTCGGAGAAACTTGTTATAAATCCAAGTAGGGGGGCACCCAGTGGTACTGTTGGTTAAGCGTCCGACTCTTGGTTTCAGCTCTGGTCATGATCTCAGGGTTGTGAAATCGAGCCCCACATCAGGCTCTGCGCTCAGAGCAGGAGTCTGCTTGAGATTCTCGCTCTCCCTCTCCTTCCGCCCCAACCACTCGTACTCTCTCTCTCTCTCTCTCAAATAAATAAATAAATCTTTTTAAAAAAAGAAAAATCCAAGTAGGAACATGGGGGGCTGTCAGGAGTGGGTACAGGGTACCCAGGAGGTCAGCTGGGGCAAGCACGACCAAAGAGTGAAGAGCTTGTCAAGAGAGTACTGAGCTCACCTGCTGGTGAGGAACCAGGAAGACGTTTTGGGGGCCCAGAGACCTGGACACCAGGCAGGACTCATGGAAAGGACACAAAGAGGGGACAGCTGAGGGACAGAGGGGCACAGTTGATATGTGCTTCTGGTCTATAGAGAGCACTAGGCTGGGGGTCAGGACTCTTGGCTCCAAGGCCAGCTCTGTCACCAACCAGCTCTAATTTGGGGCCAGTTGTTGCACTTTCGTGGGCTCAGCTTCTCCTGGTGTCAAGGGGAAAGTTGTGTCAGATGGTCCGTGTGGCCCGAGGGTCCTCACCACATATAGTCCTGAATATTCCCTCTGCAGAGAGAACATCCTTGTTCTGGATATATTTTTTGAAGCTCTCAATTATGAGACAATTGAACAGAAGAAGGCATATGAAGTCGCTGCCTTACTTGGTAAGTCAGTGTCGGCTGCGCTAATTTCCACGTGTCATGGCGGGGAGGGAGGGGGAATGGGCAGCTGGGCAGGCAGGCAGGCAGGTAGATAGATACACCTTCGGAGGAGTCTGGCCTTTTCATGTACTAATTACTCCCTCTGTCCCAGAATGGGAAGGACTCCAGTGTGGTGGAGGTCTTCGGCCCAGTTCATGCCCCAGCGTAGGCCTCAGTTTCCCCATCGACACCATGAGGCAGATGAGTTAAAAGGTCTCTCAGGGCCTTTCCAGTGCTGCCCTGTTGGATTCCGTGGTCTTCTGTCCCCAGGTTGGAGTGAGCCCCAGGGCCACAGCGGGGACAAAGAGCGGTCCAATGGAGGGAAGGCTGAACTGTGGGTGGTCCCCAGGCAGTGAGGGCCCCGGATGGAGCCCAACCTGGAAAGCAACATTGCAGCATAGAGGCCAGATGTTCCCCGTGGACTGAGAGCCCTTTGTCAAACACAAAAGAAGGGCCACATATCCCCAGATGTCTACAGACCTGACTGCCACCCCCACACAAGGTCACATCCGCAAACCTGGCCACATGAGCACATAATGCATGCAGGGAGTTCGTTTCAACCCTGCCCCACCCCGTGCAAAACCCACAAGACCCCTGAGGGTAGACAGCTAAAAGACCTGCCCCTGGGGCCCTTCTCCCAGTGCCTGCTCACTCTCAAGAAAGGACATGATGCTGTCCCTACAAAGAGAATTAGCTGCTCTTGCCTCTGTGAGCTGGACCGACTGAGAGTGGTACCTTGGCGGGGGGGGGGGGGGGGGGGGCAGCAGGTATAGAGGGAAGTAGACAGGCACAGAGTCAGATGACTGCATACCAGCTATGAGAAGGCACGTGGCCTCACCTCACTGAACGTCAGGTCCCTCATCTGTAAAATGGGTCTAACCAAACACTTGATGAGTTTGTTGAGATGGTTCACTGGGATAGAGCCCTCGCCCACAGAAGATCCGTAAGGAGTAGTTTCTGGGACCTGGACAGTCACCATGCCAGGGGCCCAGGGCCCAGCTTCTTCCAGATGCCATCGGAGCATTTCTGCACCTCTCCCAGGAGACTGGGGACTCGGCCACAGCGGGGACCCAGCTGGGTTAAGGTGGCTGCCACTTGGGTCTCAGAGACACTTGTGGCCAAAAGGGACTGAGCCAAGAGACTAATACCGTGGGCCCGAGGTAGAAGTCATGCTCTGAAGATGTAGACCCCCTCACCCTGCCTCTGTCACCTTGTCACCTTCATTTCCTAAAGAGAACTCAAGACAGGGCTCTTCCCTACCCTCCCCGACATAAGCTCACTGTTCTCTCTCTCTCTCACGCACACGCACACGCACACACGCACTGAGGAGGGCCTGAGCTCTGAATCTGTCAGAAAGGATAGCTCCTCTCTGCATCAGCTGTGAGGACAAGCACATTCCCAGCATCTTGCTCCCACCCAGAATAGCCTGCTGAGAGGATCATGCTGCCATCTGTACCTCCCATGGTGAGAGTGTGCCACTCGCAGACCCTCAGCCATCAGGCCCATGGGCCCTTCCCTCACCACCGTGCAGCCCACCCTCCCCCCAGGGCACACCACACATGCCCTCAGGCCACACCCACCCCAAAGAATATACGCGCGTGCGCGCACATACGGTCACGAGCCACACACTCCAGTGTGCAGAGCACAGACCCGCATCCAGGCCACGCGCTGCAGACACGTACGCACTCCGTGACTGCAGACCTGTCACATATGCCTGCCCATACACACAAACATGCTCCCGCAGCTTCCACACACTCATACACAATGCCCACCTCCACAACACCACACTCACACACACTGGACACACTCAGTGTCCCTACCCTAGACGTAAAGAGCCACCTGCATAAAGCCATCGACAGCCAGACGTGCTCACACAGAGTGCCCTGACACATACCCCACGCTCGGTCACGCTGCACGCACGTGCAAACACACACCTCACACCTGACACATACATTGGTAAGTACACACTTCCCAGTAACGTCCCCAGTAAGGGCATGAGAGAGAGAGAGCAGGGGGAGAGGAGTGAGGGGAACCATTTGGAGCCCAGCTCCAAGCCCCACCAGGAGGAGCCCCCTCCCTGCCCTCTCTGCCTGCTCACCTGGGACTGTGGTTGTCGGCCTGCCCTCAGCCATAATCAGGGAGGGAGAGGGCAGATGGAGCCAACAGAAAGTTCTCAGACCAAGTCGTCAGCCTGGGGTCTCCAGTAAGACCGGGCACCCACCCTGGCAGCACCCCCTTTCCCAACACTCTCCCTGCTCAGCCCAGCAGCTAAGAGTCCATAGAGGTTCCAGCTGCAAGGACCTCACAGTGGTGTCCTCCACTCCCCTCCCCACCAGATGCCCCAATGAGAAGGTCAGGGTTGATCAAAGCCACACAGCAAGCTGGTGCCCACTCTCCAGACTCAGAACCTCCAAGCCCTCTGCTCTACCACACTGCCTCCGGAGCAAAGTATTTGGGCTTTGGGGGGACCAGAACCCCTTATCAAATCTGGTAATAGCTTCTCAGATAGGAACTCTCCCACTACAAATCCCAGGTACACAACATGTAACATCTTGCATTCAGTTTCAAAGGGTCTCCAACCATCAGCAACTCCCACAGGGGAGTTGTTCTCAAGCCCTGGTGGGCGCAGGACACCTGGGAACTTAAAACTCCTGACTTCCAGACCCGAGCCCCAGAGATTCTGATTTTATAGAGCCGGGGTAGGTCCAGACATCTACACTGAGTATAGATCTCTCAGGAGGGAGAAGACCTGAAGACCGGTCAGAAAAGACTTTGGTCAGTGGGGCCTCTACACCCCTTGGCAAGAACCCCTACTCTAGAAAAAGACCAAAGTGAACATTTACCTTCAGGTGGGAGGGTGAGGGGATGCTTCCTATGGCCTTATCCTAAGGGTGAGAGCTGCCCTGAGTTGGCCCTGTAGGCCTGGTCATGATTGGGTGGGGTGGGGGGGTCTCTTGGGCCACTGTTCCCAAGACCCCCACCCAGGACACCCGACCCATGAGTCTTGGGCTAGACTGCCCTCGCTCCAGGCAAACACCACACACTTCTTGTCTATTCCCAGCCCAGAGCCAAAGAAGGGCCCATTCCGTGTGGTTCTGAAGGTCACTGAATAAGCCTGTTAGCCTGGGAGGTCTACTCTAGGCCCTCCAGTAAACACTCGGGTTCGTTCCCATTGCCACTGGGTGCTGTTTTCAGTAAGAGAGGGAGTTGTCCAAGGCCTGACCTGTCCCAGGCCCAGGCTCCCCGTGGTAGGGGAACGGTTCCAAAAGTCTGGTTTCTGAGTTCGTCTGCTCACCCCTTCCTAGAAGCACTGTGACTAAAGCCAAATCTTTGATCTTGTTTCTCTCCCCAGGTGATATTGGTGGTCAAATGGGATTGTTTATTGGTGCTAGTATCCTTACAATACTAGAGCTCTTTGATTATATTTATGAGGTAAGCTTGGGGTTGCTCGTGGGGAAATGATCATATGCTGGGACCCTCATCCCGCCCCGATGTTCAGAACCAAAGCATGGGGGAGAGAATGACCTCTTTCCACCCAGAGCCTGCTTTCTCCTGCCTGTCCGTGGACATTGTCTATCACCAAGTCCTAGGCACGGAGGAGGGGTGGGTCCAAGAGAGACCGAAGCCAGCTCCTCTCCTCAGGGAACTGGAAGAGCTGTGGTCTGTCCACACTCAAAATGGGATGGGGGAGAGGTAGGGTTGAGAAGGAGAAGAGCCAAACCTGAGGCCAGCTGTGGTCACTTCATACACGTGTTTGTCTGCACCCACACACCCACAGCGCGCGCGCACACACACACACACACACACACACACACACTTCGGCCACACACACATACATCACTCACAAACACACATGCACATTATACACATACCACTCACACATAGACGCTACATTCAAGCAATACACACACCCGCCCTCTGGGTGGCCCGTCACCTGAGTAGAACCCATCCTGGTGCAGGCAGGTTTAGAGAAGGGGCCTTGCCTGGTGGTCTCCATCAAGCCTGAGCAAGAAGAGCAAGGGCACACAGGCCGCTTCTGGCTGTGCATAGCCTAAGATGTCTCCCTCAACAGGCAGCTGGAATAGAGGCTCTGAAAGCTTCTCCGAGGACAGGCAGCTGACCGTGGCCTCTGGCTCTGAGTGTCACTGTGCCATCCCCCCGAGTCAGGCGGGCTCCGGGGGCTCCAGAATTCCTAAGGGGATTCCTCAGCATCCCCAGGACCCACTGAGTTTTGGTCCAGCAAGAGGAGCCTGCAGAGCAGTGTTCTGACTCCCAGAGGGGGCTGTCTTCAGCCAAAGCCCACTAGGAACCTTTGTGGGGAAAGACCCGAGACCAGGGCACTCGGGAGCGCCTCACTCCACCTCCCAGCATGGTGACCTTGTTCCCCAAACCCAGATCAGGCCTCAAGGCCAAATCTTATTCTGCTTTGCTTATTAATTTTTGTGAAATAGAAGTTTTTGCTGTATAAAGTGACGGAAATTACATCATACTAGGGAACATGTTGAATGCCTACCCTTTATCACTAAGAATCAAATGTTATGGACTCAGGGGTGCCCTGATCTAATGAACAAGTGGGGCTGCCAGGCCTCATCCCCCAGGCCCAGCCTCCGGAGCGGGCTCCCGGGCTCTCAGGCACACCCTCCATCCCCAAGAGAAGTCCGTCCCCATGCCAGATGGGGCCCCCCTGTGACCTCCTCCAGGCTCATGCTCCTGCGCCAAAACCTCCCTTCAGCCGAAAGCTGGGGGAGGGGCTCCCAGAGCTGGCTGCCGGGTGGGCTCCTTCTGCCTTCACACCCGTCCCCCGGGTTGACCGAGCCCATCCTGATTCTCTTGCAGCTGATCAAAGAGAAGCTCCTAGACTTGCTTGGCAAAGAAGAGGACGAAGGGAGCCACGAGGAGAACGTGGTAAGAGCAGCACCTGCGCTGTAGGTTGCTCTGTCCCCCTGCATCAGTGGGCCTCATGAGACCAGAGGTCAGGGTCAGGGCCAGGGCAGGAGGGACGCACCTCCCCGCACACCTTAACTTGGCTCATTGGAGGACACCCCCACTGAGCCCCGGGGCCCAATGGCAAGCGCTGGATACGGCCATCCCGGGAGATGCTCGCAAGGGGAGGTCCTGCCTGGCCCAGTCGGGCTTGTCCCGGGCCGGGGGGCTACTGCTCTCATCTCATGCCTTGGGAGAAGCAGGGAGGCTCTACGCGCTGAGTCCTCAGGTGGGCAAAATGCAAGTAAGGACGTCACTGGTGCTCTACTCCATTTGAAGGGGACAGGGAGCTCGGGGCCCCGCGAGGTTGGGAGCAGCCGTGATACCCATCATAACTGCCAACTACTGTGTGCCACGTCGGGCACTGTGTATTTGAGGCACCTGAGGCCCAGAAGCCCCAGTTCCCCCAGCTGGTGAGTGGCAGAGCTCCCCTGACCACCGGCCCACTCTGCCTGTCTTCCCTCGGGCAGCGAGGCAGCACCTCTCACAGCTGGCTGTCCGCCCTCCTTCCCAAACTCAGTCGGCTCCCGGCTGCCTGGTATCTCCGGCTTTCCCCAGGGGAGAGCTCTGCCCTGACAGCACCACACCCACTAGGGTGTCCGAAGGCCGCAAATCCAAACTGAGGCCAGCCCCTTCCCCCAGACAGGCCCCCATTTCTATTCCAGACACTAGTTCTCTACCCACTTTCCAGGCTGAAAAATCTCTGCCTCGGTTCTCCCGGGCCCCTGCAGCTCTGTTGAATAGAAGACAGCTATCTGTGGAGGGGAGGGCAGGTGGAAGGGACCCAGGCTCTGGGCTGGGGTCCCTGTTCCTAGCCGTGTGCCTGAGCAGCTGCTGACTCACAGCGACCTCAGGGAGTTGTCATTTGGATTAAGCGGACCTTGCCTCGACAGCCCGCAGCAGTGCCTCGGTTATAGGAAGTGCTCACCAAGTGGAGGTTCCCTCCACACCCCACCTTCCCTCTGCCCTCAGAACCTCTCAGAGGCGCTGCCTCCCACTCCCCCAGGCCCCCCTCCGCCACTCCCCCTCCCCCAGCCCCATCCTCGTCAAATCTCCCCCACGTTCTTGGCACAGCCTCCTAGTATCTGTTCCCATCCCTCCCAGCCCCCAGCCCTCTGCAGCCTCAAGGCCCTCCCAGCCCCGCCCTGCTTTCCTCTGGGGCAGGCCCCACCCTAAAGGTCCACTGGGGAGCTGGGACTACTCTGGTTCTGGCTGTTGGGGGGGGGGGCCTCCCCACTTCCTACTTGGCCTCAGCCATTGGCACGCCCTGCCCCAAGCCTAGCCATGGGCTCCACTTCCTCCATCCCAGGAAGGCCTCAAGGGGGACCCCCCCAAGATGAGGGCAGGAGGGGATGTCCTCCCGCCTCGAAGCTAGAGAGCACTCAGAGCACGCAGCTTTGGATGATACATTAGGGGCACGTCTAGAAGAGAAGTTCAAACCACTGCTGAGCCCCATCACCAGGGAGCCCTCTCCCCACCCTGGGGGCACCTAGGTGGGCGATGGTGAGGGCTCTGACGGCAGCGAGGCGCCCCCAGCCTCGTGCCCCCACAACAGCTCACCAGCCCCTGAGATGCCTGCGGCAGGAGCAGCTCCCCTGGAGAGCCCGCGGGGGGGGGGGGCACAGCTCCCAGGGCCTCAGCTGGGCTGCCAGTGGCATCATGATGCCATTTTGCAGAATGAATACCAACCCCCGCTGTCCCCTTCCCTCCAGAGCACTTGTGACACGATGCCAAACCACTCTGAAACCATCAGCCACACTGTGAATGTGCCCCTGCAGACGGCCCTGGGGACCTTGGAGGAGATTGCCTGCTGACAACCCTTGGACCACCCGGCACCCCCCAAACAGACTTGGAGGCCCAAAACCCAGGACAGGGGACAGCAGGCGCAGGTGGGATGGCCCCTGATGACAGAAAGAAGCAAGAGCCCCCTATGCACACATAGCAAACTCTCTGCCAAAACCTCGCTGCGGCCACGTCTGACATGACGCGTCCTCGGGCCCCGCCGTGCGTCCCTTTAGGAGAAATGAGTCACACTCTGGAACTGTCCGAGAACCAACCTGCCATCACATCTCACTGCCAGATGTATAAAGCACCTGCATGCTCAGACTGCTCACGGCGCCACCTCCACGTCTGTCTCTGTACACGACTCTGCTCCACGCGTTTCCCAGCGGCCACTCTGCAGGGCACAGCGGGACCAGGTTCCAGCCCCGAGGTCACCACCCTGTGGTCACGCTGGGATCACAGCTGCACAGTCGAGAGGGAAAGCGCAGAACTCTCAACCACGTCCAGTCCTTGTGTACTTTGTGAAGGTTCTTAACCGGCCCACAAACCCCTTCCCTCCCCTGAGCCGGCCCATGGGCTGACCAGGGCCCTCCACCCCACCCCTGTCCCAGCGCCTGGTGGAGGCAGGGTGGCCTGGGTGACTCCAGCACTCATCCATGGGACCCACGTCATTCTGCCGTCCCCGTGACCCAGCTTGTACAGTCCGAATCTGTTTCTTCTTCCGGGGGGGGGGGGGTGTTTTGTTTGTCTGTCGGAGATCTGTTTTGTTTGGTTTTGTTTTCCGAATTTGGGTTTTGATGTTCTGAGGTTTGGTTTGATTTGGTTTTTCCATTTTCTCTGGCGTTTATTTATTCGTGCTTCCAGTCACGGTCATATTAAAAGCTGGTCTTGTGGAAACGGCTGAGTTGGTGCTGCCTTCTCCCCCATACTCAGCGCTCTCTCCCCCGGAAGCCTTTCGAAGGGGCCAGGCCGGCCAGGTCAGAACCCACAGATTATATACAGGTAAAGTCTCCGGCAGCAGCGCTTACCTTTACAAAGTGTATAGAGCGTATGCACTTCTAGTCTATTCTAAATCTCTAAAAATTATTGATTGCAACCTTGTAAATGATTTCATGACCATTAAGGGGGTAACAGTTCATGGCCTGAACGACACTGTCGCGGACCATGGGCGTGTGGCTTGAAGAGGGGGAGGCAGAGAATGCTGCCCAAACCTAAAAACCATGAAGGAAGCCTGCCTGCGCCTCTGATCCTGTCCGTGAAATCGGGCTGGCCTCCCACACGGCAGCCTTTCCAGACCCTCTCTCTGCACCCCACCTCCTCACCCCCCACCCCCCATCAAGCAGACCTCTGCTTGTCCCTGCAGAGGTCACACTGGCTTTCTGCCTGGCTCCCCACGACCGCTGGCCAAGTGGGAAAGGAGGGGGGAGGGGCCTCGTGGAGAGAGGGCGTGGCCTTTCAAGCCCCTCCCACAAAAAGGGGCTTCCTGTCTGGGCAGAATCCTCGTCCTCTGGCATCATGCTGATTGCAGGGCGTGCAACCGTTACTCTCCCGAGGCCCTTCAGGCCGCTGTCTCTGCGCAGGGGTGCCCGGCAAGTCACACGCGGTGGCCAGGGGGCGGCTGGGACACGGCATCCCTGAAATGCCTCCTCCCAGCACCTTCTTTCTCAGCCGGGCTTGCCCGAGGCTGTGGGCCAAGCCAGGCTTTAATCCTTAGGGACCGAGCGAAGCGCTGCTGGAAGGCGCCCTGTTTTCGGTTTCTACTGCTGCTGTAACAAATCACAACAAACGTAGCGGCTTAAAAGCAGACGTATTGCCTTCGAGTTCTGGAATTCAGAAGGCTGACACGGATCTCACCGGGCTAAAAATCTGTGTCGGCGGGGCTGTGTTCCTTCTGGAGGCTCTAGAAGAGAAACCGTTTCCTCGCCTTTTCCGGCTCCTAGAGGCCACCCACATTCCGTGGCTGGTGGCCTCTTCTACCATCGGCCAACCCAGCAATGGTGGGTGGGGTCCTTGCCTCACAGCCGTGACCTCCTGGGTCACCTCTCCCTCTATCCCAGACCTTCTCCTGCCTCCCTCTTCCACTTTTGGGGGACTCCTATGATTAGACCGGGCCCTCCGGATAACCCATGATAATGTCCCCATCTCGAGGTCATTAACTTAATCACAAACGTCAAAGTCTCTTTTGCCATATAGGGTAACGCATCCACAGGTTCCAGGGATTAGTATGTGGCCATCTAGGGGGGGCATTATTCTACCTATCAAAGGACCTTTGGACCATATAGCCTACTGCCCTCATTTTCCAAATGAGCAGACCCAATAGAGGAGGGGATGGACTTGCTTAGTGTCACAGAGTGAGTTTAATGGCCATGTCAAAGCTACACTCCCAAGCTCCCAGGCTCATAATTCCATCTCTAGACCCACCAAGATGACGCAAAACAAGAAGCACTGAAAGTGATCACCTTCCCAGACTTTCCCAGGGCACGGAAGGCCCTCTCCTTAGACAAACACACACCTCACTGCATCAGGCTGGAAAATGTCCTTCTGGTGCTTCGACTGTCAGATGCCGAGGAACAGTGAGTGTCCTCAGACAGCTCCCATTGGGGACAGGAACAAAAGAAATGTCTATTCAGCGGGTTGGGAATCTACAGGATGCTTCTGCCTTGTTCCAGTTTAACAGTTTCATAAATATTTTAAAAATCTATAGCTGAAGTTGCAATGTGAACTGCTTCATTGGTTTTCTGGCTTCCTTTCAAAAAAAAAAAAAAGAAGAAGAAGAAGAAGAAACTTCAGATCAATTTGTGACGGAACACAGAATATTCTAGTGGGTTCAGATTGCTTTCGGCCTCGCATATGTACATGCCCCTCCCAATTTGGAGATTCTGGCTTTTTTCCGTCTTGGAGCAGAACTACAGACTTAATCTGTTTAAAGGGGAAAAGATAGGAAACTCAAGAGAGCAAATTAATAGCCAGCTATGGATTGCAATTAAGCAGTTAACCAAAGACACAGTGTATGCTTGAATTCTTGGGAGTGCTGGGGTGATTTTTCTTCTCATTTTCAAACAAGTAGCCATGTGTGTAATCATTTCCTTAGTGAAGACCTGGAGACGTTTGGTAGAGGAGACTCGGGGATGTGTCACATTTTCGAGAGGGACCCCAAGGATGACAGGAAGACCAGGAGCCCAAACCACAGGTTGAATTATCAGTAATCTCAAAGAGACAGGTCAATCAATCAGTCAATCAAATGACGGCACATAACCTCAGAAACAGAATCAGTGGGACTTGCTGCATTTAGGGGCAGTGAATGAAAGAAACATTTCCGTGAGTAGCCATGCCAGGGACTGAATTGGCTGCTTGCACGCTGTTGCTTTGTTGTTTTTGGCAGGGAGAAACCAGAGTTAATTTTCCTCTTTCCAGCTTGAAGCTATTTTTGTAAGAGTCTTCATCACAAACATGCCTAGTGAGAAAGGTTCACAGAGGGTCTCTGGAGAAATGTTCTTGGTGAGCTGGGAAGGAGGAAGTCAGAGGCTGACACTGCCCAGAGATGTGATCTTGGTGGCTATTGTGTTTGCTCAGGGGAAGCTCAGCTCAGCCTGCCTGAGCCTAGAGGCCCAAGGAGACACCTGGGACCTCTTCCTCCAAAAACCTGGAGATTTTAATTTGATTTTGAGAATTAACCTCAGAGCAGAGGGGAGGGCCTCCAGAAAGCACCAGTGAGTGATGGGTATTAAAGAGGGCATGCTCTGCACGGAGCACTGGGTGTTATACACAAACAATGGATCATGGAACACTACATCAAAAACTAATGATGTAATGTATGGTGATTAACATAACAATAAAAAATTTAAAAATTAAAAAAATAAAATTTAAAAAACAAAAAAAGCACCAGTGAATGAGCTGCCCGGTACAGAATAGAGACGGTGGCTCCAGGAGACCAAGGATGCGGCCAGCCCTGATGCACTCACAGCCAGGGCAGCCCTACGCTGTCCATTATGCACTGGACACTGGCCCCCAAGGAAATTTATCATCTGAGCAGGGATACTGACAAGTAAACAGACTACAAAGATGAACCTAAGTTCAGAGAATGAGAGAGAGCAGCACATACCAAGTCTGCGGGGTGAGGAGTGCTAGAGAAGGGACACCACCATGTAGGCCCAGGGAACCCCAGCAAAGAATGGAAAGGGGAAAACCTCCAAAATGACCACTTAGAGACAGGCAGGTGCAAAGGATGAGGGGCGGGTCATGGCTGAAGCCCTTCAGCTCCTTGCCCTGCTCTCCAAGTGTCTGTAAAGATACTTCCTAGCCAAGGGTTAATTTATTTAGCAAATGGCTTTCTCCCCATTTATCTGAGACTCCTGGCACATGGAATCATTTTGTGCGTGCATTTGAATATTCCGAGGGCTAATAGGTTGGGCGCATCTGGGGCCAGAAGGTCCCTGGGAACCAAGAAATAGGTCAGTGGAAACCAACCCAGCCTGAGGACAGGTAGGAGGAGAGTCTCCTACTAATTCACTTTAACATTTGTGGAAATCTATGCTCACTGACTTTGCAAGAGCTAAGCAACAGTGGCAAAGGCTTTGGACAGAGAGTCAAAGGATTGGCTTTCCAAACGATTTCTGCTATAAACTGACCATATAACATTGGACAATGTACTTCACTTCTCTGGGCCTCAGTTTCCCCCTCTTGATAAGAAGAGGGGGTTGAAAACAAACAGATAAGCCTTTGGTGTGCCCCAACTCAATAGTCTATGAGTGTAAGCCGAGAATGGGGATCAGACATCCCAGCAAGTGTTTAATGATGCTGGGTTTTGGGGGTAATTATGAGGATTAAATGAGCTAAGGTAACTACTTCCTCCCTTTTCTTCTTTTCTTTTTTCTTCCTGTAAAACACTGATTCTTTTTTTTTATTTTTTTATTGTTATGTTAATCACCATACATTACATCATTAGTTCTTGATGTAGTGTTCCATGATTCATTGTAAAACACTGATTCTTAATCTTGTTTGGATTCAAAATAAGGTGAAAGCTATGAGCTCTCTCCAGAAAAAAAAAAAAAATGCACACGGTCACAGAGATATACATGCAATT